TGTAGGAATCATTAGTTTCATCTAATGAAATGAGTTTTTCGACTTGGCTCACTTTTCCGCTTTATGCCTCTAAATTAGTATTTCCTCATCATCAAATTTTTCTAGTCAATATGGGGAAATTCCTCCAAATATAGTGTTTGATATTGGGATATGCGATATAGAAACAATAGAAGTAACTGCATTCTCCAAGCAACGCTGAATAATCAATTCAATCTACTCAGAACTGGCTCTTAGACAATCTACATGAGTCCTCATAACCTCGAATACGTGATCAGGTATCACATACTATGACCCATGCGCTGACCTTGGTATTAGCTAAGGATAGTGAGATTGTATACGAAGGAGCCAGAGAAGATTACTTTGATGTGTGCGGCTGGCTAATGCGCTATATATGGCGAGGGCGTCCCCCAGAATCGCTTCCTGACGAATTCCCTCGGTCAACGGCCTTGCTGGGGTTGGGAAGCCCCTCGGGAAAGCGGGAGTGGGGGGGGTGAAAGAAGTGTCACGTCATTAAACAATTAAAGATTTTAATAGTACTACTAACGTTGTCATTTTTTTACTAACACGACTTATATACATTCTATAACACTCACATAACTAAAAGTCTTCTAAGATGGCGTGTCCACCAATATTACTCGCTATCTCGCTTTGATCACATAGCACCTGTATGTGTATATTTAGCTCAGATGGATTCAGATTAGATTAACGATGTACATTTCTATATAGATTTCGCATACACTATCGTGGGTGTGAGACAATAATTTCTTATATCTGTTAGTCTATTATATTATATATATCCATTCATTATAGTATATATATATTATTATACCTTTCTCTGGGTATGCTCATAACTTATCCTCGTGGGGTTAGAGATTACTTACTCAAGCCGCTCGCCTCACGAAAGGCAGACACGGTGCACAGCGCACAAGGCCCTTGGCCACGAGGCCCGTGCCGCACGCGCGCTCGCTCACACTCAACGTTCTGTCTGGTTCCAGCGGCGCCAGCGTGAATGCCCAAGACGTCAGCGGCAAATCGGTGCTGCACACGGCGGTGCGCCAGGGCAGCCCCATGGTGGGCCTGCTGGTGGACAGAGGCGCGTCCGTGGTCTGCCGCGATTCCAAGAACGGCCGCACGCCCATCCATATCGCCGCCGAGTTGGGCGCGAAGGAAATCTTGGAGATGCTCTTGCAGAAGTGTCCGAAGGGCGTAGACATTAAAGACGGAAATCGCATGACGCCACTCCACTTCGCTGCTGAACGGGGCCACCATAACTGCTGTCAAATCCTGCTGCGCCACGGTGCCAGCCCCTTGGCCAGGAACAAGCTCAACGAGACCGCCCTCCACATCGCCGTCAGGAACTGCTACAAGCTCACCTGCGAGATCCTCCTGTCGCACGAGCACGACCTCAACAAACAAAGACACAACACGGATTCACGCCGCTCATACGCATTACGACTTGCAAAAAATTCGATGCCGAAAAGGTCCTGCTCCTCCTGCTGGAGAGGCGGCCGGACCTGAACGCGACGTGCCCCAACGGAGACACGGCGCTGCATCACGCTGTGAAAAGTGGCAGTCAGGAAAAGTGCCGCATCCTGGTGGAGGCGGGCGTGGATTGTAACGTGCAGAACAAGAACGGCATGACGCCCCTCCACATCGCCGCGAAGAAGAAGCTCCCGGAGTGCTGCGCCGCCATCCTGCGCCTCCCTTACGAAGAGATCTTCCTGACCTCGGCCAGCTCTGACCTGGACGGGCGGGAGAGCGTCAGGGGCGGCGCCGACGGCGAGAGAAGCCGGCTCAGCCTCGACGTGAGCACGGAGAGCATTCGGGACACGGAGCGCACCGCCAAGACCAAGGTCGACGTCAACATCAAGGACAACCACGACATGGCGCCCCTGCACTATGCCCTGGAGAAGCAGTCGGTGGAATGCTGCCTGCTGGTCATCAAGGCGCGCGCCAATGTCTCCCTGATCAGCAGCGGCATGAACAGGCCCCTGCACTTAGCGGCAGCGGCTGGGTTGGACAGGGCGTGCAGTCGCATCCTTGCCAAAGGGGCGTCCGCGAAGGAGGAGAACGACATGAAGGAGACGCCGCTGCACCTGGCCGCGAAAGCCGGGTCCTTGGCCTGCTGTCGCTTGATCTACAGGAGCGGCGCCAACTGCAATGCCCTGGACAAGAACGGCATGACGCCCTTGCATCACGCGGCCAGAATAGGCGCCGAGGACTGCTGCCGCTTTTTCCTGGCGAAGAGGGTCAACATCCTGCGCGACTGTATCGGAAGGACGCCGCTGCACATCGCCGCAGCCGAGGGACACTTAAGCTGCTGTGAGCTCATGCTCACCGCCGAAACCAGCTGGCAACTGGACGTCATGGACTGCCATGGCTACACGCCCCTCTTCCGCGCCTTCGAGAACAAGTGGGATGACGTGTTCGTCTTCCTCCTGCTGAAGTTCCAGCATCGAGCCCCCAGAAACCAGCATCGGCCGAGAAAGGACTCGCTGCGACTCCTCAAGTCTTCGGGATCAGGCGACTTGAGTCACAGGATCAGCGCGGCCGAACAGAGTACCAGCCAGAACGACATGAGCCTCGTCCTCAGTCGGTGCATTCAGGAAAGGCGAAGGTAGGGCACGGCGAGGGGCGCGGCGGCGTCCAGAGCGTCGCCCGCTGCTCTCACGGCGTGGGCAGGGCGCGGCGTGCCGGGGGAGCGCTGTTTTTAGATTGTAGTACTGTCTTGTTCTGGTCAATGCGTATACTTACTGTACACACGCAGATATATGTGAATTTATATATACATATATATAATATATAATATATATATATATATATATATAATATATATATATATATATATATATAATATATATATACATACATACACACACACACACACACACACACACACACACACACACACATATACTATATATATATATATATATATATTATATATATATATATATATATATATATATATACATATATATATATATATATATATATATATATATATATATATATATATTATATATATATATATAATATATATATATACATATATATACACACATTTGTGTATATATATGTACATCTTTCTATCTATCCATCTATAAATATACACATACAGGCTGCTGGAAACGTCGCGTTTTGGCGCACTATTTTTATAGTGAGTGTATTTTATTTCGTCTTTGTAATCACGTTATTGTACTTAATCTTTAATTGTTTAATGAGTGACCTTCCCCCCCCCACTCCCGCTTTCCCCGGGGCGTCCCAACCCCAGCAAGGCCGTTGAGGGGATCGTCAGGAGCGAATTCTGGGGGGACGCCCTCGCGCCCACCGCCGCCCATCAAAGCAACTTCCGGCTCCTCATCATTCACTATCCTGAGCTTGCCAAGGTCAGGATGGGTCATGTGTGAACCTTTCAACGATCGAGGTCGTGGACTATGAATTTGTCTAGATGTTCTGTATTATTAGCAGTGTGTTTGGAGAGTTACTTTTGTTTTATCCCAATACACACATAATTTGGAGAATTTCCCATTTCAAATTGATATGAGAAATACTAATTGGTAACGGAAATGGCAGTCGAAACCATCAGTGATGATAATGATTCCTCTATCGCCTGGAATCTAAGCATCATTACCATCACTGTCATCTTCACCATCTCTGCCAACATCATCTCTCACGATCCACAATCTTATTTCAAGAGTACAATAGAGTCCAAAATCCTTCACCACCTTCCCCTCCTGCCCCAAGGTCGTGCTGGACAACTGCGTGCTGAGTCGCCCGTCTTGCAAGGTGTTCCTCTTCTACTTCTTGGACGATACGTTCACCGTCCCGACGATCGGTGCGTCAACGTTTACTGTTAACGTTTGTGTGGAAGTTCATGGCGTTTAAGTAAAGGGTGCGAGAGGAGGAACTTTTGATTTTAGATTTCTTGGAGATTAAAAAAATGGATTGGATTATATCATGCGGAGAGAAAAGAGAGGCGTAGGCAAACACAGACAAAACACACACAGACATAAGATACACAGACAAGAGTAACGAGAAGAAAGAGAGAAAAAGGTAAAAATCCACAAAAGAAAACGCCGGTTTCATTGTCTCTCCTTCCCTCCCTTCCTCCTTCCCTATTGCCTTTCACCTCCTTCCTCCCCACAGTCACGAGCCCTGACAGGAAACTCAGAAACAATTCTTTCCACTTCTACTCGACGCTCCTCTCGCGGGCGTGGGCGGCGACGAGGGCGAGGCTAAGGGCGCGCACCGGGAATGCTCTGGACAAAGTCTCCTCTGCGTTCGACAGGATCTCGAGCAAGTTCTGGGGCGCCGTGATTTTCCCGTCGGACTTCGGTTCCGTCGATGCGGGCGGAGGCGCGGCAGGTGAGGGGAAGTGTGCGTGTGAGGGAGGAAGTGTGAGTATAAGGGAGTTAGTATGAGTGTGAGGGGAAGTGCGAGTGTGAGGGGGAAGTGCGAGTGTGAGGGGGAAGTGAGAGTGTGAGGGGGAAGTGGAGTGTGAGGGGAAGTGAGTGTGAGGGGGAAGTGTGAGTGTGAAGGGGAAGTGCGAGTGTGAGGGGGAAGTGTGAGTGTGAGGGGGAAGTGTGAGTGTTGAGGGGGAGTGAGTGTGAGGGGGAAGTGAGTGTGAGGGGGAAGTGTGAGGGGGAAGTGCGAGTGTGAGGGGGAAGTGTGAGTGTGAGGGGGAAGTGCGAGTGTGAGTGTGAGGTGAGAGGGGAAGTGTGAGTGTGAGGGGGAAGTGCGAGTGTGAGGGGGAAGTGCGAGTGTGAGGGGGAAGTGCGAGTGTGAGGGGAAGTGTGAAGTGTGAGGGGGAAGTGAGAGTGTGAGAGGAAGTGAGAGTGTGAGGGGGAAGTGCGAGTGTGAGGGGGAAGTGAGTGTGAGGGGAAAGTGTGAGTGTGAGGGGGAAGTGCGAGTGTGGGGGAAGTGTGTGAGGGGAAGTGAGAGTGTGAGGGGGAAGTGCGAGTGTGAGGGGGAGTGTGAGTGTGAGGGGGAAGTGCGAGTGTGAGGGGAAGTGTGAGTGTGAGGGAAAGTGAGAGTGTGAGGGGAAGTGCGAGTGTGAGTGTGGGAAGTGTGAGGGGGAAGTGAGAGTGTGAGGGGGAAGTGTGAGTGTGAGGGGGAAGTGAGAGTGTGAGGGGGAAGTGTGAGTGTGAAAGTGAGAGTGTGAGGGGGAGGTGGTGAGTGTGAGTGTGAGTGTGAGTGGGGAAGTGTGAGTGTGAGGGGGAAAGTGTGAGTGTGAGGGGGAAAGTGTGTGAGGGAGTGGCGAGTGTGAGGGGAAGTGTGAGTGTAAGGGGGAAGTGCGAGTGTGAGGGGGAAGTGCGAGTGTGAGGGGGAAGTGAGTGTGAGGGGAAGTGTGAGTGTGAGAAGTGCGAGTGTGAGGGGGAAAGTGCGAGTGTGAGGGGGAAGCGAGTGTGAGGGGGAAGTGTGAGTGTGAGAGTGAGAGTGTGAGTGAAGTGTGAGGTGAGGGGGAAGTGAGAGTGTGAGGGGAAGTGTGAGTGTGAGGGGGAAGTGCGAGTGTGAGGGGGAAGTGTGAATGTGAGGGGGAAGTGAGAGTGTGAGGGGGAAGTGTGAGTGTGAGGGGGAAGTGTGAGTGTGTGAGGGGGAAGTGAGAGTGTGAGGGGGGAAGTGTGAGTGTGAGGGGGAAGTGAGAGTGTGATGGGGAAGTGTGAGTGTGTGTGAGGGGGAAGTGAGAGTGTGAGGGGAAAAGTGTGAGTGTGAGGGGAAGTGAGTGTGAGGGGGAAGTGCCGAGTGTAGGGGGAAGTGTGAGGGGGAAGTGCGAGTGTGAGGGGGAAGTGTGTGGGGGAAGTGTGAGTGTAAGTGAGGTGTGAGGGGGAAGTGCGAGTGTGAGGGGGAAGTGTGAGTGTGAGGGGGAAGTGTGAAGTGTGAGTGTGTGGGGAAGTGTGAGTGGAAGGGCGAGTGTGAGTGTGAGTGTGAGGGGGAAGTGCGAGTGAGTGCGAGTCGAGTGAGGGGGAAGTGTGAGGTGTGAGAGGGGAGTGCGAGTGTGAAGTGGAGGTGAAGGGGGAAAGTGTGAGTGTGAGGGGGAAGTGTGAGTGTGAGAAGTGCGAGTGTGAGGGGGAAGTGAGAGTGTGAGGGGGAAGTGCGAGTGTGAGGGGGAAGTGTGAGTGTAGGGGAAGTGTGAGTGTGAGGGGGAAGTGTGAGTGTGGGGGAAGTGAGGGGAAGTGTGAGTGTGAGGGGAAGTGCGAGTGTGAGGGAAGTGCGAGTGTGAGGGGGAAGTGAGAGTGTGAGGGGAAGTGTGAGTGTGAGGGGGAAGTGCGAGTGTGAAGGTGTGAGGGGGAAAGTGAGAGTGTGAGGGGGAGTGTGAAGGTGGGGAAGTGTGAGTGTGAGGGGGAAGTGAGAGTGTGAGGGGGAAGTGAGTGGAGTGGAGTCGAGGGGGAAGTGAGAGTGTGAGGGGAAAGTGTGAGTGTGAGGGGAAGTGAGAGTGTGAGGGGAAGTGTGAGTGTGAGGGGGAAGTGCGAGTGTGAGGGGGAAGTGCGAGTGTGAGGGGAAGTGTGAGTGTGAGGGGGAAGTGCGAGTGTGAGGGGGAAGTGAGAGTGTAAGGGGGAGAGTGTGAGTGTGAGAGGGGGAAGTGAAGTGTGAGGGGAAGTGTGAGTGTGAGGGGGAAAGTGTGAGTGTGAGGGAAAGTGTGAGTGTGAGGGGGAAGTGAGAGTGTGAGGGGAAAAGTGAGAGTGTGAGGGGGAAGTGAGAGTGTGAGGGGGAAGTGAGAGTGTGAGGGCGAGTGTGAGGGGAAGTGTGAGTGTGAGGGGGAAGTGCGAGTGTGAGGGGGAAGTGAGAGTGTGAGGGGAGTGAGAGTGTGAAGGGGAAGTGTGAGTGTGAGGGGGAAGTGCGAGTGTGAGGGGGAAGTGCGAGTGTGAGGGGGAAGTTGATGTTGAGGGGGAAGTGAAGTGTGAGGGGGAAAGTGCGAGTGTGAGGGGGAAGTGTGAGTGTGAGGGGGAAGTGTGAGTGTGAGGGGAAAGTGCGAGTGTGAGGGGAAGTGTGAAGTGTGAGGGGGAAGTGTGAGTGTGAAAGGGGGAAGTGTGAGTGTGAGGGGGAAGTGTGTGAGTGTGAGGGGGAAGTGAGAGTGTGAGTGTGAGGAGGAAGTGTGAGTAAGCGGAATTGTGTGTGTGAAGGGGAAGTGTGAGTGTGAGAAATGTTTGTGAAGGGAAGTGAGAGTGTGAGGGGAAGCGTATGAAGGGAGACCAGACAGCTGCATGATGAGTAAAGTCAGGCTCAGTGTGAGGAGGAGGCGTTAGAGTGCGAAAGAATAATAAAAAAAATCCTTCATCTAAGAAGTTCTCAACAGAGGACCTTGGACTTCCCGATCGACCTGCTTGGTGCCCCTTCACTCCTGAGGGATGGTTGGAGGACAGCGCCACGCTCAAGGACGACTCGGAGGACACCTGGAGGAACGAACACCCGCTCAGCCTCATGGCCAAGTCCGTGCATGCGAGTCGCAGAGTTATTTAGCCTCTGGTCTGTCTGTCTCTCTGTCTGCCTTCGTCAATGCCTCTCTTCTTCTCCCCCTCCCTCTCCCTTCTCTTTCTCTCTCTGTCTCTCTTTCTCTTCTCTCTGTCTCTCTCTCTCTGTCTGTCTGTCTCTGTCTCTCTGTGTCTGTCTGTCTGTCTCTCTTTTCTCTTCTCTTTCTCCCTCCTCTCTCTCTTTCCCTCCCCCTTATCTCTCTTTGCCAATCCTTTCTTTCTCTCTCTCTCTTTCTTTTTCTCCTTCCCTCCCTTCTCTATCTCTCTTTCTTTGACAACCCCCCTCTCTGCCTCATTATCTATCTTTGCCTACCACTATACCTACCACCCCCAGCTCTCTCGAATACAAGGAATAATCAACAGCACAATAGATTCTCCTCACTCCCTCCCAGAAAGAGTCATGCAACCTCATGCCTTTTTTCACTCCCCACACCCCCAAGAAGTCATGTAACCTCATGCCTTTCCTCACCCCCCCCAAAAAAAAAAAAAAAAAAAAAGTCACGTAACCTCATGCCTTTCCTCTCCCCCTCCGTCAGGCACAAGCGACTCGACCTCCTGAAGCATCCTCTGTGCCAGCGCTTCGTCAGCTACAAGTGGGAGAGGTACATCTGGCGCGTGTTCTATGCGCTGTTCCTCCTGCCGTCTCTCTTCGTCGTGGCGCTCTCTGTCTACGGCACGATGGCCTAGTAAGGCTAGGTCTCTTTCGGCAATGTCGAGAGTGGATGCGATTGTTGTTTTGCCTCCGCCAGGCAGCTTATGTGTTTAGTCGCGTTTGTTTTTTGGTTCGTTCGTTAGCAGCAGAACTCAGCAGAATTTTTACCAGAAGAGTGTCTTAGCCTGACTTAAATGCCATAATTGTTATTGGCGAATATCATTTGTTCTTTGTTAGCAGGATAACTCAGAAAATTATGAACAGTTTACCAGAAGCGTGTCAGACTAATTTAGATTTCATTTAATTTTGGTGGTGATCCGGATCATGATCCGGATCCAGGATTATTGTTTAAAGATTGCATCATTGCCTCTATTGCCTTGCCTCCGCCAAGGACGTTATGTTTACGGATATCACCTTTGTACTTGAGAAAGATGATTTCAAAGTTTCTATAAGCGTGAATTTTATTGCATCAGTATGCGCTCTCTGTGCTTCTACCCATAATTCTTATTATCATCATTATTAATATTACCATTATTATTAGTTATAATAATTACTATCACCACTCACTAAATAGAATACATGATCATTTCCACTCAAAACCATCAGTGACTGGGACTACGTCTTGCAAGAATTCAACATCAGCCGAGGCCAGTTATGCAGCAGCGAAGGGGCGGGGCGGGGCGAGTGCCGGTCGCCGGGCGGCGCCGCCTTCCGACGCAGCTTTGCGGCCGACGAGTGTTTGGCCGAAGGGAAGGCGGCGGGATACGGGCCTAACGAAGTCCTTGTGCGTCTATTTTCTTCTCTCGTTTGTTGGATCTTTGTTGTTGTGGCTGTTATTGTTATTATTGTTGTTTGTTGGTATTGTTATGATTATATTTATTTTATTCATTTATTATCATTATTATTATTATCTTTATCATTATTTACTATTATTACTACTTCTCCACTTACTCCTGCTCCTTCTCCTCCTCCTACTCCTCTTATTATTCATCTCCCCTCCTCCTCTCTCCTTATTTTTTCTGTTCCTTCTTTCCCCTCCTCTTCCACCACCATCGCCACCACCACTTCTTCCTCCTCCACTTCCACTACCTCCTCCTTATACTCTTCCACCTCCTCCTCGTCCTTCACCTCCGCCTCCTCCTCCTCTTTATCCACCACCGCCCCCCTCTTCTTCTTCCTCGACCTCCATCTCCGCCTCCGCCACCTCTCCTTCTCCTCCTCTCCTCGACCTCCGCCTCCGCCACTCCTCCTTCTCCTCTTCCTCCTCTCCTCCTCTCTTCTTCCTCCTTTATCACTCCTCCTTCTCTTCCTCTTTATCACCTCCCCTCCTCCTCTTTTATTCCTCCTCTTCTTCCTCCTTTATTACCTCCTCCTCCTCCTCCTCCTTTTCTCTTTATCCCTCCTCCTCTTCTTCCTTCTTTATCACCTCCTCCGTCAGGCGATCCTGAGGGAGAGCCAGATCAACCTGAATCTTCTAGAAAAGTTCGTTTGGTTGATGCTGCTCCTCAAAGTGGGCCTCGAAGCTCAGAAACTCCATCACGTGAGTATTCGCAATCTTTTCCGTTGTTATCGTGGCCTGTCATCTAATTTTGATTCTTATAACAATAGAATAGCAAATAGTACGATATGTATGACCATAGAAGAAGAATGTAATGAAATACATCGAAGCATATGAACGGAATGAAAATTCGTAAAGATAAGTAAAGGAATAATTCATAAAATAGATAACTAAATTGATAGATAAGATAATTGAATGAATATGACCAAATATTCTCACTTTTCAGGTATTTTTTCTGATGCTAGTTTCTTTTTATTGAGAATGAAAACGTATCGTTATTCAAATTATCAAATTTAACTCATCTTGTCGTAAAAGGGTGATGTAATATTCACAATTGAACGACCGTAGTGCTTATCCTAGAGTCCTTTAATTAGTTTCATTGTAATTTTCATGTTACAATTTCATCATTTACATCTCTTCCACAGCTACGAAGGACAAACCTAGAAAAATGTTTGCAATTGGCGTGCTATCTGACCTCTGCAGTGTTCTTGTACAACTGGACGGAGTGCTCTCAGGTCACGGGGGTGAAAGAGGTTGGGACAGGTCACTCCTTTGAGGCTATTTAATTTTCTAAAGTATAAAGCAGCTAAAACTATGCAGCATTTGTGTGTTTGCTTGTATGTGTGTGTGTGTGTGTGTGTGTGTGTGTGAGAGAGAGAGAGAGAGAGAGAGAGAGAGAGAGAGAGAGAGAGAGAGAGAGAGAGAGAGAGAGAGAGAGAGAGAGAGAGAGAGAGAGAGAGAGAGAGAGAGAGAGAGAGAGAGAGAGAGAGAGAGAGAGAGAGAGAGAGAGAGAGAGAGAGAGAGAGGCGTGAAGGATTCATATGAATAAACCAAGGGAAAACTACTATGATTTAATTTTAGTGTCTGTAGAGCTTTTTTGCTGAAAAATATCCTCTATAGCTAAAGTATGAATATATATATATTTCACTTTTATCTGTTTCATTTGATTTATGTAAATACATAATTATAGGCGCCATTGATAAAGAAAATGTTATTTTCTTTCGGTTATTCGCCCACTCAGTTACTTGAATTCCCGTCTCTATTCTTGCGCGAAGGACCTGCAGTGGAGTTGCGGGTCGCTGGCTGTGCTGGTGGCGTGGTTCGACCTGATCCTCATGCTGGGCACGATCCCCACCTTCGGCGTCTTCGTCTTCATGATAAACGACTTCCTGCGCTTCATGCTCAAGCTGTTTGTGATCGTGCTCCTGCAAGTGATCGCCTTCTCCTTCGCCTTCCACATGCTCCTGCGCGGGAGGGCCTCCTTCAGGAACCTGCCTCGCGCGACCATGAAGATCGTGACGATGATGCTGGGCGACCTGGGCTACGACGACCTGTTCAACAACACGGAGAGCCCACTGCCGTACCCGATGGTGAGCAACCTCGTCCTTGTCTACTTCCTCTTCCTCATGGTCATCGGCATGATCAACATCCTGACGAACTTCCCGCAAGAGGTTCTGGACAAGGCGAAGAAGCAGACAGAGCTCATGAAGCTGTCGAGGCCGCTCAAAGCCGTCCTGGAGATGGACTCCAAGTTCCCTCTGCTGCGGAGGAGGTACACCGTGGGCTGGGTGGTGGACGGCCCGCAGAAGGAGGATGAGGTGGACGGCAAACAGAGGAAGGACGGCGAGGAGGGCAGCGACAGCGACGAGGATGCCCTCGGAGAACCTCATCGCTGCTGCTCCTGCAGGAAGGAGCCTTCCGAGAACCTCCTTCTCAAGATCCTGAACGAGGTGAGCGCCCTCAGCGAGAACCTCGAGGATAGGAGGTACTTTTCGCCTCACCGCCGCTCGAACAGCACCAGGGGAAGCAGGAGCTGAGGGCCGCAGCTCGCCAGGCGAGGCGCTTGACGAAGAGCACCCCGATGCCCGGCCCTGCGAGTGTTCTTAGTCTCCCTTTTTGCCGTCGAGCTCCAGAGGCATCGCTCAGTTTTGTTAATGTTTCTGTCACTGGCTTTATTATCATCGCATGTTCTATTATCTGGATCTATTCTGGCGTACGCACAGCTTTATTATAGGACGATACACTATCAGCATGGTGTCAGTCAGTCGTGGCAGCAGCCTCATTCCACCAGAAATGTTCGTAAGTGGAGCCCTTCCCTCTTGATTTAGGTAGTTGTGTGGAACCATACCACTGCCACGCATACATTTGCCTTATTAAAGTTGTGTTTACTATGTTTTATCACTCGTCACAAAAAAACGGTGTTGTTCAAACGTGACCTTACTACGCAACTACACATCTCTAGACTCTCTTTTGTGAATAATAATACAAATAGGAATGAAACAGCAATAAACTTATTACTATGTTGAATAAAAAGATATAGTAACGTGCATGCAAAAATGAACATAATATAAACTGTAAGAGAAGACAAATAGACGAAGAATCATCATGAACATTTAAGCAGAGAATCCATGTAGTCTTTTGATTCGTATGATGAGGATTCCAGATAACTTCGAAATGTTTTGATTATTAGTTTTTTAATTTTGCGGTTGTGTATATTTTATTTCATTATACATCTTTTGTGTATAGTTGGTATTGCCAATATTATTGTTCAAAACTGCTTTTTATATATATTATGGTTTTGTTACATAATGTTTCCATGTAAATAAACCGTAAGGGAATACACAGTGAATCATTAGATTTTTATTATCAAATATAGATACAAAAAGGGTCAAGAAAATGTTTTTTGCAATAGTCCCATGTTAACCACGAATTAGATTTGACCTTCTGACCCCCCCTTCCCACGGCCCTCCTCTCCCCCTCCTAGTCCAACAGCCTCCCCAGCAGGACCGTGGGAGGCGCAGGAGGCAAGGGCTGCTGCTTCCTCCTGTGGCAGGGGAAGAAGACGCCACACATATCCTTAATGATTTCCTTCTCCCTGACTTGGTCCTCCACCTTCTGCGCCACCTTCTTCAGGAGTCGGAGTTCGCGGCCCGTGCGGGAGGAGCCGGCCTCGAGGTCCTGCATCCTGGAGGAGAGCGAAGTCAGGTCGCGCCGGAGACTCGCCAGCTGCTGCGGGGTCAACTTGGGCTGCGGGGGTGAAGAGCGAATCAGGGAAGGGGAAGGTTTCTGTGTGGGCGGGAGCGGGTGGGCGTGTCAATGTGAGGTCGGGATTGTGTGTGTGTGTGTAAATTATGTGAGGTGTGTATGGGGTGAGGATGATTTTTTGTGTAGGGTGAGTCGTGTGAGTATGTAGTGGACACAAATAATGAATGATGAAACAGGTACAAAGAGAGACAAGGAGGAATAGATAGAGAGAGAGTAAAAGAAATAGATAAATTAATAAAAGTGATATAGATAGAATTATAGATAAAGTGCAAGAGGAATGGAAGATGTATATATATATTTATATATATATATATATATATATATATAATATATATATATATATATATATATATAGAGAGAGAGAGAGAGAGAGAGAGAGAGAGAGAAGAGAGAAAGAAAGAGAAAGAGAGGGAGAGGGGAGGGAGGGGAGAGGGAGAGGAGAGGGAGGAGAGGGAGAGGAGAGGGAGAGGGAGAGGGAGAGGGAGAGGGAGAGGGAGAGGGAGAGGGAGAGGGAGAGGGGAGAGAGGGAGGAAGAGAGGGAGGAGAGAGGGAGAGGAAGAGAGGGAGGAGAGGGAGGAAGAGAGGGAGGAAGAGAGGAGAAGAGAGGGAGGAAGAGAGGAGGAAGAGAGGGAGGAAGAGAGGAGGAAAGAGGGGAGGAAGAGAGAGGGAGGAGAGGGAGGAAGAGAGGGAGGGAAGGAGGGAGGAAGAGAGGAGGGAGGAGGAGGAGGAGGGAGGGAGGGAGAGAGAGAGAGAGGAAGAGAGAGAGAGAGAGAGAGAGAGAGAGAGAGAGAGAGAGAGAGAGAGAGAGAGAGAGAGAGAGAGAGAGAGAGAGAGAGAGAGAGAGAGACGCAATAAATTACTTTCATCAGAGTTCAGCGAAACTGAAAAACTAGCGTACGTAGTCTGTGCATCGTATAGTGACGAGCATTTGCATAGTATATTAACGTTCGCGTTTATATAGTCCCTGGTGACGAGTATAATATAATACAGTGACGAGTTTATATACAGTATGGTGCAAATGTGGGCGTTTGTAATCAAATATCCTTGTCATGCAACTTGTCATGACGCGTTGAAACGAGAAATGTATGGGAATTGATAACCACGGAAATAAAGCAAAATGTACGGTGAATATTTTGATGAATGAACGTTGTCGAAAAATGTGAATGTAAATCACGTCTTTTATAAAGGTAAATCTACATTATACGTCAGCAACAAGAATGAATTTAATGAAAATCGTGATACTCTAATTACACCTTTCGCTTCCTGGAATCACTCGTTCTCGTATTCAGGAAAAACTGATGGAAGGCGAAGACACAAAAATGAGAAGAAGAAGAACGCGATAGTTTGATCATGTGATCCTTGACAGTAAACGAACAAAGAAAAAAGAAAAGAAAATGTGAATAATGACGACGAAGTCAATAAGAAAAGGAAGAGGAAGAAAATATTAACGCAACTAAATTCTTTGGTAACATCGATATCTATGACAGCGATCAGAGTACTTTGGTATCGACAAATGGGTCTACATGAAAGAATGACAATTATCATACACGTATATATTGTATATGTGTGCATATGAATATACATACGTACAGACATACATGCATACATACATACATACATGGATGCATACATACATACATACATATATATATATATATATATATATATATATTATATATATATATATATATATATATATATAATGTATACACACATATACATATACATATGCATATACATACATACATACATCACATATAATATATATATATATATATATATATATATATATATATATATATATATATATATATATATATATATATGTATATATATAAATATATATATAATATATATATAAATAGTATATATATATATATATATATATATATATATATATATTTATAACGACACCACACACATCAGTATTTATATATATATATATATATATAATATATTATATATAACAATATATTATATATTATATATATTATATATATATATTAATAATATTATATAAGTATATATATATCAATATATATCTATATTAATATCAAATCTATATATCTATTTATTATTCTTCTATTTCATCATCATCTATATATATATTTTTATATATAATTGATATCGAGTAGGTTATATATGGATGTATATATATATGGTATTTGTACTGATTTAGGTTTTAGGCTCAGGGGTTAGTAAACTGAGTAATGACATGATTCAAAAATTTAATAACACTGATCCCACGTTAAGCTTAGGGCTTATTTACAGGATTTCAGTATAGAGGGGGCATTCGAAAGACCCCCCGCCCACGTAGACAAGCGTTATCACTTACGGCGATCTCGAGCGCGGACGAATAGTAAGATGAATAGCGTCCTCATCACAGCAGGATTATTTGGCAGGATGACAAGAAGGAACACACGGCGGGAATCTCATTTCGATTGATACTATATACTCTCACAACAACAACAACCACATACAAACAACACACACACATTCAAACAACACACACAGGGACGGGAACACATTACACGCACACCACACACCACACACACACAGGGGCAATGCAGGAGGCACACTCACACACACATACAACACACACACAACACACCACACACAGACAAGAATAATATAATAATATATAATATATATAATAGTATATATATATTATATATATATAAGTATACATAATATATATATGTATGAAACACACACACTCACACTATATAAATACATACCTGAGCAACGCCAAACATTGACACACACAGGACAGCCAAACACAAAGACGACCACCAACGCGATAGACAGTTAATGTACAATCCCCCGCCAAACCAACCCCCTCCCAAAAATCTCCCAAGCACCAGACAGCCAAAAACACCTTTCGGCCACGCCTGCGGGAGACCGAGGGCGCGTTGGGTCGGCAGAACACCACGAACAGGAGGAGCGTGAGGAGGACGGCGGGACGGCGCAGTCTTGCACCTCGCGGGGGGGTCTGTGGGGGGGGGGGGGATTGGGGGAAGGGGGGGGGTCTGTGGGGGAAAGGAGGGGGGTCGTGGGGGGAAGGGTCGGGGGTCTGTGGGGGAGGGGGAGGGGGTCTGTGGGGGAAGGGGAGGGGGTCTCTGTAGGGGGGGGAAGGGGTTTGTGAAGGGAGAAGAGAGGAGAGAGGAGGGGAGGTGACGTGGGGGTTGGGTTGGGGTGACGCTGATGTAGGAGGTAATGCAGGGGGAGGGGGAGGGGTCCAAGGGGGATCTGTTTGGAGGAGAGAAAAGGTGAGGTTAGTAAATTATCAGAAAATTTAGAACAAGACAAAAAATTAAGGGGTGGGGCGATGCGCGTTTGAAAAAAGGAGTTCGTTCAGTAAATGGTAAAGCAAAAATATTCCAACAATTGTTTATTACAAAAACCGATGTAAAAAAGTGGGGGACTACGCCACTAAACAACAACAGGCAAAGCGGCGAAAAATAGATAGATATGAAATGATTAAAAAAACACAGTAAATTGTTGTGGGTGGGGCTGTAGGGAGGGGGGGGGCTACACTGCCCTGGGGAATAACGAAGTTAAAAAAGGCAGATAAAATGATGTAATAAGTAACGGCGAAGGCGTGACTGGGGGTTCGAGTGGGGGAGTGGGGAGGGAATGGGGGTAAGGGGGTGCGGCCGAGAGGTAATATAGCAACGAAGATAACAACAAAGATATAAAACGACTGCATCTGAAAGCAAAAGACTACAAAACAAACCTCTTTGACAAGTCTTATGCGGCCATTCGCTCAACTGCCGAGCGTTTCCCGCCTTCAAGTGCGCAAGGATTCCTTCGACCGAAACGACCGGCCACAGGCGGTGGGAAGGCGCCATGGCATACGACTATTAAAAACTAGTGTGGAGACTCGTGACTGTTTCAAGCCTCATGCATTTTTAAACCTCTATAAATATCCTTGGCCTTGAAACTAGAGAAAAAATGTTCATTACATTTTCACACGTAATACCTGTTGATTGTGGTCATGAATGAGTAAACAATCATGCAAATGAATTCTTTCGAACGACTTGGGCACCGAATGAACTCCAATCAATATACTGAAACATCGTGAAGTGCCAGAGAGATACCTTGAGAAAGTTAATTAATTTATAGATCAATAACTCACACGGAACGATAGTGGACATTCCGTGAACATTATCTTCGCCTTGTTTAGACTTTTCGTTCCCTTTCGTTTCGATCCAGAAATATTAGTCATCGTCATGCATGTTTTCGGCATTAGAGGAAGTGTTTTGAAATGAAAACGAACGAAGTCTAAGCGCAGAGGAGGCAAGGGAGAAATGGTGTCAGTATATATATAATGGAAGAGAAAGAGAAAAGGAAAAGAGAGACGTGTGTGTGTGCATATATACATACATGCATATATATATATATATATATATATATATATATATAATATATATATATATATATATATATATATATGTATGTATGTATGTATAACATATATATATATATATATATATATATATATATATATATATATATATATATATATATATATATATATATATACATATACATATATACATACATATATATATATATATATAT